TTGTGTTCACTGGTAGTTCCGTGGGTCAATGTGGTAGTTCTGGACGAGTTGCAAGTGGTGGTCGACTCAACAGCTTTCCGAAGTGGCCAACCCATCGTTCGTTGCCTAAGTTTCTCCTCTTTCGTGTTAATTAGGTTTCCTTCATCATCTATTATCGGTTTCATCTGTATTGATCTCTTCCCTATCAGATAGTAACCTGGTTATTTGATACAATGTTGTCAGATCTATCTGACCAGCCTACAGCATGTTCTGCTTCACTTACCAGTGTGTTGTGGAAGTGTCTTCTGTCTTTCCACCCACTCTTCTTCACTTCTTTGTCCAGTGTAGTATCTACACATTGCACTCAGTTCCTCTTCTCGTTGTTCATTCTTGCACTGCTCTATCTCCTGCTTCACCATCACCATCACCATCCTCCTCTCCCTGCTCTATCAGCTTCCATGTGTCCGTCGTGATCCATTCCTTATCTCGTCTTGCTTCTTCCTCCTTCTTAACACAGTTATGCAGGTTTCCTTCTACATAGCTTTCAAGGAGTTCCAGTGTTCTTCCATGTAGGTTTCTTCTGAGATGTTGCTCCATATCTTCCATATTGTCTTGATGGTTGATGGCTGATGACGTGAAGATGTCCTTTGTAGTTTCATCCTTCAGTACAGTTTCTCTTCTGAGTGTTCAACTTGAACTGTGGTCTATCACCAACTTCTTTGAAGGTTTTCAGCTTGATTTTGCTGGTAGGTTGCTTACACTAGATAGTGAGTGGTGTGAACCTAGGTCCCCATCAATATTAGGCCTTCTCAATAGCTTGTTCTATCCCGACGACTGGAACAACAGTAACCCCGACGAAAAGAAGGCTGATGATGAATACTGCTTTTTTAAACATACAGATCGAGACGAGTCGAACAGTGTAAACTTTCTCCTGCTTGTGAAGTGCAAAATTTGGACACTGTGCTGAAGTACAACTCCACTCTGAGATGTGATTATGAGCAATAGATCGTCCTCAAAACATGAACTAATCGACGCTTAGTTTTAACTAGTGTAATGTGGAAATTTTTCCTACGTACCAGTTGTTCATTTAAACTAACTGCCTTGATAATAATCCAGTTTAATTATTTCTGTCTCAAAAACGTATCACCTTTAACGCAAAACATCTGGATTCAATTTTCACTTTCATTTTAATTTATGATGGGGAGGGAGAAAGAGGCTGTGTCTGTTCTGTGAACGGCAAGTTGACCTTCTACTCATTCACATACTCTCATACTTCACATCCATGAGCTTGAATTTCATTTTAACTACCTAATAAAGTTTGTTGTCAAGGTGAACAAAGTGATTGAAAAAGCTTTGTTTCAATGGCATGCGATATAAATAAATTCAATGAATAAATTAGAGAATGTGATATGGTTCTACTTGATGAAACCTACTTTGTGACGATTATATTGACCATCTGACCATCTTAGTTAGAAACTGAGTAGTGACTCAGGTTTTCAGACACACAAGAAAGGACAGTTGTGAAAAATAAGGCAGACAGGAGGTGAGCAACAACGCTATTCACAGGGAACAGTTTTACCAGCTAATAAAGGCTCGATGCAAGTTTAAGGAATATTAGAAATCAAGGCGTATTGGACGACTACTTCATTTCATTGAGCAATTTTGCTGCACAGTCATTAAATCACTCCAACTAACACTGGTTGGCTGACAGGATTATTGAATAAAACAACTGGAAACTTGGTCACCCAATGACTTTAATTCGATCACTGTATTAAATGGAAATCGATAGTTGTAAAGAGAGTAACCAGAAGGAATTGAATATCTTATTACTTGCAATCATACATGAATGATGTTCTGACGGTGCCCACTCTCCAACAGGCTTATATTGTAAGTGAATTGCATTCGTTTGACCACAGTTAGATTGCACTCATCCACCACTTCTCAGAATTCACGTCTGTACTGCATATCGAGTACAGTTGTCCGTAGAATACTCGCTCACCTATCCTATTCAAATACCATCACAACTTTCTGAATAAACATACTTCTCTTAGCCATATTTAGGTTTAACTCTGTCCACGTGGTAGTCCCCTGATATACAGTAACCGTTAAGGAATGTAGCCTCCTCGCACCACTTCATCTACCTAACCACATCTCTTAGTTGTAAAGCAGAAGCAACACACTCAAGCACCTATCAATAAACTAGTAGGTTACCACTACACTACTACGTCAACCTAATCCTCAGTGAGTGTAAACATGACATGCCTATAACTCGAACGAGTACAAAATTTACATAGGAAAGTAGTTACAATTAACTTCCTCACATTGTTATGCACATTATCCGTTATTCAGATTATCTTCAGTTCCACTTACACTGACTGTAATATGCTTATAACAAGCAAAAGCAGACAAACGTAGTCACTTCAGGATTTCTCTCCTTACAAAAACAAATTCGTTTTCATCGCAGATTGATATCCCTTGGAGAAATGTTGAAAAACTGGCAGTACAATACACCTGTTTGGTCCTAATTTGGGACCACTTAGAAGAATCAAACAAAGTGGTTTTTATCCTGCATATTCTTCCAAAATATTCACCCATTATAAAAGTGACCTATTGAGTATACAGTTGTCAATGTCAGCTACATGTTAGTTATCCACTGAACTAACTATTAGTTCATAAGTGATTACTTCATTCACTGTGAACTATTTTGTCTCATTTAGCGTTAGATGTTGTGAGTCGATGAGCAGGAAGCTCAGCTTGACATCGGCTTAAGGCTAGTTGACACCAATCAGAAAAACATATCTGCATCGATTACAAGTCTGATGTTCCTTTGACAGTCCGAATCTTCTTCACTCGGTGCTGACATCAAACAATTTGCCACCAAGCTGTTCACATCGCAACTTCCCCCTTAGCTGTCTAGTTCTTATTCTTTAAAACTGACCGAAGTCTAACGTTCAAGTTTGTTTTGTTTGGCCATGCTTTGCAGCTAGTTGGTTGAAGAGTACACCAAACACACCTGTCAGAGAGTAAATCACGACGCCTAGGTTTCATAGGGAATGTCTGAGCATTCGAATTGTTGAAGTCACTTCCATAGACTAGCATAGTTTTCATTTAACTTCAGTGACTAGAGTGTTAACAAACTTTAACGGTCGAGGTGAGCAGTGATAACTTGCAAAACCGAGTAAACACTCATATCGGATAACAGAATGCAAAGCATTAGCCTCTTCATAATCAAATGACTAAAACCATTTTCATATTTGAGACAGTCTATTCAACTATCGAAGGATTTCAATGAGACTACCGTGGTTTGGCTGACTGGTAACGTGGATGCCAGTGGCTAGAATCCTGCTGCAACTCAGGTTTTTCATTTCACCTCCAATCATCAATTTTTATGAAAGATTCATCAGCAGTATGTAAGGAACGTGACAACGGATGGAATAAGGCCATATATGTAGATGCAATTCACTTATGGTTGGAATGATCATTGAGAAAACTATTTGACAACTGATTTCGCCTCTTCTAGGATTTATTAGCGGTGAACATTGTTGTTGCTACCTCACCACCCCAAGCGTACGACTATCAAACTCTGTAACTGACATTGTTACTGGTGATTTTCCATAATCAAGTCTGATAACATACACCTTCAACATCAGTCAACTCATGATGGGAGCTGTCTCCAACATAACTCGATAGAAATATGTATATATATTATAGTGACCATCAATTCTAGCTAGCGTGGTGTCTCGTTTCCCTGCATTTACTTATCCTAATTTACTGATGTAATTCAATCCTAGTGATTTACAAGTCCAACTAGCAACACATCCCATGTAGAATTTCGAGCCAGTAGGAAGGTGACATTTTGACATTTCACAAACATTTGCATTACAGATCATCGATCATCCAGTGATCAACTTAGTTAGCTCTGCTTGGTTAGATCATTACTGAAGTGATTACAACAATCCTCTTGATCAAATGTCAATTAATCATAGCCTTGCCAAACCGTCGAAAAACAAATGAGGATCATGTTTCTTTAGCCAAACAACTCAAATGTGGCATGTAAACCTGATGTTATTTTATTCCATACAACCCTAAGTGTAGCGAACATGTTCAACATCACAAAACGCCATGTGTTATCATTAGCCATCTGTAATCTCCATAGTAGACAAGCCTTTCTTGTTGTTCATTCTCCGCCCAATGATTTAATTCGACACTTGATGTGAATTCAGTTACCAAGTGGTTAGACTATTTTCATGTGAAAAAAGAAGAACATGGCAGTCATAACTACAAAACTTCCTGTTTGTAAATGGGTTAGTGTGGATGGCAGTAACAGGAAAGGGGAATAGATTAACATGGGAAAACGGAAATGGATTTCCTTTCATACGCATTTGGGATTACATAATCCTTTCTGCTTCAACTATACAACCACACTGATCCCCTCCCCTGAGTAGGTCTGTCATGATAATAGAACACCTGTCTGTGTTACCTACATAGTAGATCAGATGACGAAGAAATTCCACCCCCAGTGTAGAGACTTTGACATGCCTATTATTCATGATGAATTGCAGTGTGGATGTGTATTTTTCATCACTGGATGAAATCAGTCAGCGAACGACTTGTGAACTGCTCCCCTAAAAGGCTATCTCGCTCCAGCTTCAGACTGTCCAGCAGTTAATCCTATCAATGTCATATGGGATTGAACAGAATATATTGAGGTATTCTCGTGAACTGGTTAACAATAAGTGATTAAGTTATAACCCGCTTTCCAATAATATCATGTGGTGTCCACTCTTACATTTTATCTCACAAATCAAGATGACATTCAATCAATGTCAGTGTTCACCCTAATGCTGACTGATTTCTGTTCATCATGGAATGTATTGCAACCACTAAGATGATTGCCGAGACATTGAAGTGTGGCGTATTGAGGAATGAGTGCTCAAAAATGATCGAAACGCTGCTACAATACTAATGGTTGTAAGGAACGGGATCCAGGAAACACGTTTTCTTCTGTTTGAAATTTTCAGATGAATTTGTTTTCATCGAAGTTGACGATAATGTTCCCACTGATGATCAAAGCCGGAATTCATGATAAGTGAGCAGTCTGGTGGAAAACTCTCCAGATTTCGAGGCGGTGGATGCTCAGCTCTCAGGGAACACAAACATAGAGGCATGAAACCGATTTGATAGCTCCAAAATATGATAAAGTCTGTGTCACTGCATCTGTATTCAGCCACCGCCAAACAAATAACATTGGAATGAGACGTATACCAATGACGTATCAACCTAACAACTGTGCCTATATCCCAAGTAAAATTGACTGGTTCTGCTAAATGTAGGAAATAGATGAGGCGTACGAAGACTTGATATGATAAGTAATCCCAAGATGGTCATGTTACATACATACTGTACTTCTCAACATTTCTTCATAAAACGCGCAGGCGTGCAGATCCAGGTGTACAGTTCATCATAATGGGCATCATTTATTGTTAAACGGTGTAAACTACGCTGCACCATTAAGATAGGGAAGAATCCCTCCCATTAGGGATATCCTTCAAAATTTCGTGTGAATTGCGAACAAGTCATGCGAAAACAGCGAAACTATAACATCTGGGCATAAATGAAACATTAACAATTCGAAAGTTCACATTAGTTACTGTGCTTCCAAAAGTAGTACGAACAACTTATTTCTTTGCAATGACCAGTGTAGACAATCGCCCAATTGTATAATTATGCTTCACTGCATAATCTTTGGCTTATTTTCCTAATCTAAATTCTTACCTACGCTATGTAATTTCGGTTTTACCATTCAGTGTGTTTTGATTGTTGACTGGAAACTGGTGTGGAACGTCCTATGGTTTCCACTTCATGTCGACGAATGTACAACTCAGAGAATGAGTTTGTTGGTCAGGAAAAATTCTGTTCACTGCAATCACCTTCTGCTTGTTCCCTATATGATCAGATGGGTTTCTGTCAATCTTTGAACGACGTGAAATACGTGAACCCAGTAAATTTATGGTTCCATTTGTACAATATCCATAACCAGAATTCAGATCAACTGGTGTCATATTGCATGCTGAGTAGCTAGTCTTACCAAGTAGAATTGCGTATGAATAAAGGCTCAGAAGACATCTGTTGGATGGACACCATGTTGTACACTAGCATATCTACCCGATGTCTAGTAAAATGCATACTGGTTGAGATAGTTACACTTGAGTGGTGACTATTTCCAAGGCTGAACCAAATGAGCATAAGAATATTGAAGTCCCCACCAGCCGAGTGGGTGATATTTATGCTTATCGTATAATGGCAGAGATAGTCAAAATTAACACCCCTATCACCCACTCGTCAGATAAGAGCATAGTTAACATGGTTTAAAACAAACATCACAAGATAACCAGTGTGCATTCACACAAATGACTGTAGGACTATGACACCAAAGTTATCTGAGGAACAACAGACTGCGCATGTTATGGATAGATGAAAACAATGAGGTTTTTAATGGTTTGTAATAAATTTCGCAGAAGAGCTCAAGCTGACTAGTTGTGACTGGTTTTTAATCTTATCACCAAAGTTGTGGATGAAAACTGAGTTTTGTCTTACTTACGATACTAGGGTGAAATTTGCTGCACAAGTTTACACCGAGCGTTAGCAAGCAACCTCAAAAATCGGTACTATTTACCAGTCCAGTTGCATGCTGAAAATTCTGTAATGTAAACGTGATTGTGGTTCGTAGTAAGGCGAACAAATTACTACGATTAGTGCTGGATAGTGGCTAGCTGTGGAATCCAGATTGACGAGCGTTTCGTTCTATTTTAGATCCATTAGGTGTCTGTGTGAGTGAAGCTGTTCTCACTAAACTCGCGTCTTGGATTTCACTGTTAGCCACTATCCATAAACTGTATCAAAACTGAAAATATAGATAAATATCAAGGCATCCTCACAGCAGCCTGTATGACATTGGTGACCGTTCGATTTGGTCCAATCAACGATGGAGATTCACAAGCTACAAGTCATTAAAAACCATATTACTCCTGTACCATGTTTCTGTTGTCTCTCTCTACCTAGTGTGATGTCTTATAATCAGGTGATAATTAATTATCAGTCGTCTCTAACACTGAAAATTCGTGTTGTAACAAAACGAGTGATTTGTGTTCTGGCATACAGTACATTTATAACACCAGACATAACAAAGCTATCCTACCACTATATACCCTAGATTAAACAGATATATTTAAAGTGTTCGTGAACACAGGTGTATCATGAGGGTGTATACTAGTCTTCAAGATATAACACAGTAATTCGATTATATTGTGTGATAGAGGACTGAATCTCTATCACATTTTGTCTTGCCTAATCAGTGGTCGTTGAGTAGTTATCACCCTAGACGTTAACTGAACGTTCACTTCAATGTGGTGACTGATTAAGTTTGCATTGTATCCGCCTAGGCTGTGTGATATAGTGCTGGAGTGTGAAATTAGTTTACAAGGTACCTTAGATCTGAGTTTACTGCTCGTTGGGATTTATCAGCAAGAAACATGTAGAACTGCAGTCTGCTGCTTGTGAGACAAGCTCTTGAACTTCGGCACCGAGTAATCCAAACTCAGATCTTCAATGAACTCTGTGCTTTCTGAAGGAAGCTTGTTCATATCGTTGTAAAGTGGGGACAAGATTGAAACTTATGCAAAACTGGTTCTCATAACGATTGATTAATACTCAAGAATTAGGAAGACTTTTTTGGTTCGACGCGTTCCCGAGTACTTATACCATTGTTTAAGGTGATCATGTGACATTGGATTGTGGCATTTGTGACTAAGGTTAAAACGATAAATCACGTGAACTCTGTTTTTCAGCTGGTGGTACACAATCTCCAACACGACCGCCTATTCTTACACTTTCTCTTGATTCTTCACATCATATCTACCTTCAAATTTAGCATAGATGACACCACAGTTTACGACTACTATTTAGAACTTTGTGAAATCCATCTGGAAGCAAGTTGTCAATGAGCGTCAGAAGGTAAGGGAGTGATATCATTTGGAGAACCATTGAAAACCTGGGGGTGTTGGTTGGCTGTTTCGGTATGGTTCGACATTCTTCCGTGATAAATACCACTTGGAAACCAACCAACCTCTATAAATCATGAATTATAATTATTTGCTATCTATTTACTTCTATGCTAGATCATTTTCTAATTATCTTCTTTCCCTCCATCTACCATTTAACAACAGAGAATAAAGGGGTGTTGAAGAACTTTCTCAAATTTTGGATAACAGTTTGCATTGCAGTAGTCCATTTGTCAGTCAACCTAATGATAAGTAAACGAAATATCTCCCCTCCCTATTCACACGTCAAACAGAATTATCTCTGACCCAAACTCGCAAATGTTTCTGGTTGGTTGAAAAGTAAGCATATATGTTGTTGTTGTTGCTTTTATCCAATCGAAATGAGGACTATGGAATGAACGCTGTATCCAGTCCTTTTATATAAAGGTCAATCTACACTCAAGGATTTCAGTTGTGTTGCGCTTAACTGTAAAATAAGGATGTCTACAAACTGCATAACACGCCTATCACCACTTCGAAGGACGTCAGTAACTAGAAGAAAACGTAGCCATGTGTTGAAGTCATCCAGAGGATTACATAAATATGCTCGAAGTAGAACACGTTCCCAAGTATCATATTGTGATAATTACCTAAAGCCTCATCAAATTGAGTGTGAACGACTCAAAGAAATTCTACCAAGTGTAGCAAATTGTGAAAAGTTAGATGAGGTAAGTTACTCAATGATGTCATGCATATGGATAATTTTTAAAAATTGATTTATTGTTAACTTTACTGTGTACACGTTGTTGTTGGGACTATCTGGAAACTGTCAGAATCAAGAAAATGTGAACCACAAGGTTCTAACTGAGTTGGTCAACATTGGTGTGCCAACCACGGAACCTGGATGTGGTGGGTTCGATCCCTGACAGTGTATGGGAGTGGGTGTGCACTGTTGAGGAGTTCAATACTATGACGAAGCAGCTTTCCAGTGCTCCTAGTTTCTCAGTGGTTCTCCAACTGATATCAGTATGTGATGAATACCAGCTTAATATCTGTGATACAGGGTGATGATTAAAGCTGGAATGAAAACCAAGGTTGAGGCTGGATTCGTCTTACCAGTCTCCGAATACAAGATGGCTGGATTATCAACAACAGACTATCTGAAGTATTTTCCATAAATATACATATTGGGTAGAATACTTTGCACAGTGCTTTCAGTGAACTGTAAGTGGGGGTGAGTAAACTTAATTTGATTTGGAGGTTTGCGGGGGATTTATTGATTGATTTCAGGTTGATATTTATCATGGTCTGACATCATTTGTAGAAATATTGGAAGCCCGAAAGCAGTGGACAGCTGTTTCGTTGTGTTATGGGACTCCTAAGCAGTGCGCACTCATGAATCCACACCTCCAGGGATCAAACCTAAGACCTTCAGGTTCCATGGTCAGCACGTTACTATCGCACCACTGAGTGGGAATCCAGAGATCCACATTCCCCACTTCTGTCAGTTTGCGATATAGAGAGACCTCCGAGATGATTACCGGCCTGAAATCGATCAACAAATCCACTCAAAGCTTCAAGTTGAATTATTCTAATGCTCATTAATGACTCACTTCGAATTGAGATTCCTCAAGTTGTGGTCGGTGGGGTTAAACAAGTCGAACTTGTAGACAGTTACCCAACGACGACATTGTAGTTCTAGCTACATATTCCAGTAATACCTATATGATATTGTATTGTGTGCTCAGGAGCTCATTTCTATCTAGAGTGATATTTTCTCTTAATTTCTTTGGTAACTCGTCTAACGACAGGTTGAATGTATTTCAAGAATGAGCGAGAGTACGTTTTACCATTTATTGGCACTTGAATGATCAAAATAAGTAAAAAAGGAAAGCAACTGGTCCTATTGATATAAATTTAAACAGCGTAATGATAAGACGAAGATTATCTGAAACATGTGTTGTATTAGCGCTATACATTTCCAACATTCTGATCACACATGGGCTTGTCAAACTATTTGTGGTAAAATTTGCGAAAATGGTCAGTGAAGTTAATAGGAAACATGGCAACAGGAAGTGAGAGAATAAAGAAAAAAAACCTCACTCTTGGTATGAACCTACCAAGGTAGGTTCGACATGAGTACGAATTGTTTTTTATACACTTTTATGTAGTACTTTGAAGGCTGTTTTCATGTCTATCCTATGGTTAGTTTCTAGTATATGTTTAGCGATAGACGAAGATGGATGTTTGTCACCTGCACTTATCGGATCTGTTGAGGTCATTTATTTTTGTAGCCACTTCGGTACATGTTCAACCTGCCTTAACTGCATATCACGATTACTCTTCCCTATATATGTGTCCACACATGCATGTAAATTGATAAACACATTGGGATGTGATGTAATCGTTTATATGTTGTTTTGGTTTGTGCTGTGACATGGACTTGGTCTTCTCTACAATGATGACCTTGACTGCATAATACGTTTTACAGATGACCGATCTAAGTCTTTTCCTCACAACAAAGCTATATGAATCACCTATAAATGGTAATGAGATGAAGAAATTTATCTTAGCAACGGAACACTGTGCACTTTTCAGTGGTATATAACTTATGCACCTGTCGATAAATCTCAACGGGTATCCACTCTGTGTCAGAGTTGTCGTCAGTAAGTTGGTTTCTTCCTCCCTGGTGTCATCGGTGCAGATACGGTTTATCCTGTTGAATAAGCATCTAACTAAACCACGTTTATATTGGACTGGGCAATAGCCATGGAAATTAAGATATTGCCCTGTCCATGGAGGTTTCTTATAGATCGACCTCTTGATCGAGCCATCCTCCCGTCGACTGAGCAATACGTCTAGGAACGGTAGCTGGTTGTTCGTCTCTTGTTCACAAGTCAGGCTAATGTGATTCTGAGCCGTGTTCATTTTCTGTAGCAGGCACATTGCATCATCAGGCTTTTCACATATAATGACTATATCATCAACATATCTCTTATAAAGTGAAACGCTTCCGATGAGATCGTCAGCCATGTTTTCAACATATGACATGTATACATCAGCTAGCAACGGTCCTAATGGACTGCCCATCGCAACACCATCAATCTGTTGAAAGTGTTCGCCCTCGAATGAGAATTCAACTTTATCAGCGCATAGTAACAAATCTTTTAAAAAATTAATAGGGATAGGGAATATAAGACTGTTAGAAGAAATACAGTCACATAAAATATCAATTGTTTTTACTAGAGGTACATTAGTAAATAAAGAATTCACATCGAACGAGTACACAGTCTTATCCTTGATATTAATATAATCTAAACAGTCAATAAGGTCAAGTGTATCTTTCAATGACGACTTACATAAATGGCTTCTGACAGGACTCAAGAGCTTTGTCAACCATTTAGCTAGATTATGTGTGGGTGATCGACACATAGACAATATTTGACGCAGTGGATTGTCAGGTTTATGAGTTTTAGGTAGCCCATATAGATGTGGATGTTCAGATCCCATAGGTTTTAGACGATTAAATTCATCTTTATTGATTCAATTCATGCCGAGTATTTTCACAAGTTTAGAATTTACTCTGCCTTCCAATTTACGTATTCCCTCACAGGGGGCATCTGATGTGAATTTGCTTTCATCACTGAGAATAGATAACATCTTACTTTTATAATTGACTGCTTAGTTACAATTATGTTAATTTATACAAGTATTTAGGGTTCAGTGTTTCTGATGACGAAATACAAATATGGGCAATAGAGCGCCTTCACTGGTAAACATAGTCAACTTCATGAAACTGTAGACGACAGTGAATGTGATTTGGTCAAAACAAGTACACCCACCTGATGAGTCCGCGATAGGAAGAAACGTGCGTCTTGGATTCCACTGTTAGCCACTATACATCATTAAAATAATAATAATTTTACTAAGACAATATTTTCAATGTAGTACGGAGTTCTCAGTATGACATTTCAATAAATTTGCTCCTTGTACAGTAACATTCAACCGGTATGAAAATTTGTAGTTCCAGTTAACTATTCCTTTTATGAGTTATATGATGTTCTGTTGTGCACCCAGGACCTGATTTCCATATAGAGTGATGTTTTCTCATAGTTTTATAGGTGACTATCCCAGCAACCGGTTGAAGATATTTTAAGAATGTGTGAGAGTACGTTTTTCGATTTGTTGACATTTGAAGGATTCCAACAAGTAAAATTGAAAGGAAGAATTTGATGAAGCAATTCAAGGAGAAAATTTTCTAATGACCCGAAATTTAAGGCAGGTCAACAATTAGGAAGAGAGAACTACCTAATATTCAGGTTTCACCGCATGGAAATATGGAGGATTCTAAGGACAACTCATCATGCAATGTAAGAAGCCTAGCAAAAATTTGTAATTTGTAATGGTCAAAATAATTTTCATCTGGATATTAGTGAATATTAAACGCCAAAAATATGGTAGAGAAATTTGTTTTGTGCAGAATATGGATTTCAAAATCTGGGAGCACTCATCAGTTAGATGTTTTGTTCTAATCTGATAATACTCATCGATGTAGACAGCACATGATTTAGCAAGGATATAGAAGTTTCTCAATGGGCACATTACTAGTGAGTCCTTGAAACAGGATCAGATCGCTCATATCTCCCAATCCCGATCAAAGAATATTTTTGGTACAACAGACTGATAACCATGTGTACTCCCAATTTAGTTAGCTTAGAGGCTATTTAGCGTTTTCTAGTCTTCACAGATGCATCAACTCATGTCAGTTGGAAATGAAAATTGTTGCTAAATCCACTATTCCACCCTCATCTTATAAAATGTTTAACCTGCACGAAACCCCAACGAAATTTTAGTCTAATATTATCACGTTTCTGAAATAAAACAGCATTCACACCAATCTCATGATACAATATAGTAAATAATGAACAGAATCACGTTTCATATTGATATGTCTGTGAACATTTTCAATTTCTCTTTGTTTGTTTGTTTGTTTGTTTGATTGTTTTTCTGCATAACACTGAGCCTATCCAGGTAGCACATTTGACAGTTGTTTTTTAAAATGAGATACACACAGTAATTGTCATGCTAATGAGTACAGTAAATTTGGGTTTTGTTTGTCATTTGCAAATCAAGTCAGTTGATTGTGACATTTTATGCCCAATATCAAAAGTTTTTATTAAAATCTCTGATAATGACTAGATTGATTTTGTTTCCCGTTAACTCTCTTTCCATACAACACATCTCTACTTGAAATATACTTCTGAAGAGTATAAGTAGTTTTGAATAAGTTTCGTTGATCTGAAGATATTGTTAAGCAAATCAGAGCGATCTTAACTGCTTAATCATTCCAGACATCTGAAGACGAGGTCACCAGGAATATTCCTAGAGGAAATGATGTAGCAGTTTAGTTGTTCAAGCCAAACGAACGTCACCAACACACGTTGTATGATAAATGTGTAGTGCTGACAAGGGTTCTGTTTACAAATTCACTCACATAATGTGTTTAAAACCACACTGATGATACATTTAGGCAAGTGAAACACTGTTCATCTGTGGGAGATGTGAATATGGAGTGAGCAGTTTGTAGGTATGCTGAAAATCGATGAAGCATGTTCATCTGCACATAAGGTTCAGTTTTTCGGATATCCCATATTCGTCTATTGAATGAGACTCTCTAGTAGCCAGCATGCTTTTCATTAATAAATGGTAGAGTATGGACATTGAAGATATTGTAGTCTTTTGGTCAGTGAGTGTCTGGAGTATAAAATATACTGCTGAACAACTCGAGTATTTGGAGCTAGGTCACAGTGATCTAAACACCAGATAGCCTCTTCACTCGTTTTGGGTTGAGCTCATCAGCTCTTTATATCATCTGATACTAGCCATCTGACTTGCATGAACCGGTATACCATAAAAAGAATATCCACCTTGCAAATTCTACTCAGTGATTAAAGAATTTTCTCAATATTTCTCTTCCTTTGTTAAACTATCAGGTGAAAATTATACAAGAGGCAATTAAACACATCGATTACCTGGAACAAGCTGTTCTCCAACGATTGAATATAATCAACATGGAGACCTCGATAGAGACCAGTAAGTTTTTATCACCTCCAATTTTCATCTTGTTCATGTCAGCCAATTGATAAGTCGAACAATTTACAATAGAACACTGAGACGCACCGGTTCACTCCTGGTTTGAAGCCTTCCACTGGATATTCTACTAACCGGAGGAATTACTCAGGATCTTAGGGTCTTCACATGAACAAGTTTCTGTTGAAGTTCAGTGTCTCAATGGTGTAGCCATCCATAATGTACTCGATGACTGATTTCCCGTTGATTTCGACTCTTGAAACTTTGATTGATCATTCATCAACTAAGAGCAATGAATGCCAACATTGCCTTATCCCTTAGTGCTGACCAAATATGTCAGTGGAGTTCAGTTACTCAATATGAACTGGACTTGACGTAGAGCATTTGAAGACAACCTGCTGGTTGAACTTCTCATCTGTAGCTGGAGGACCGTTCATTACTTTTTCACCATTCACACTTGCTAGGTTCAACATTCAATGCATACTGACAAAGATTTATTGTAAATAGTCTGACATTTGAATAGCAACTTAGCAACCGAAAAGATATGCACTGTTTCGCCCTCTTAACAGAATCATTTCAAAAAATGAACATATGTTTTTTCACATATCGGTGTTTGGCATTATTCCAAAGTTGTATAGGTAAACATCCGTGTGAACTTTTTGCATAGATTGTAAGTTCACTACATAAACACCTGATTTACCGAGTTCATACTAAGCATATGTTATAATTCTCAAGAGAAAATTCATGTTAGTTAATGATAATAATTAAATGGACCATCTTTAATTGATTCACTCTGTCTCTCACATAAGCATAGTCTTAGCATCGATGTTTTAGTTTCCGTGTTAAAATGAACCTGGGTATGTTAGCCTAGAGCCATATATACCTTTAGTCTTAACATGTGCTCATCAATTATATACTTAGCAGTAAAATCTGCAGATGTTTCACTGCACGACAGTCTTATTCATACCGTCATCGATAGATCATCTACAGTTCTGAGTAATCAGTTCCCTGACGCATTTCCCTTTCTGTAATAGTACTACTTGCTATTACGTGATGTAGTTCAGTAGTAAAGTGTGTATTACTCATCTTTAGTCACCACCGTCCTTAATGATCCCCTGTTCAATGAACTGAGGGGTAAGGAAACTCATACCAATCAAAGTGGAACAGTATGTGTGTACTCTCCGAAGGTTCACAATTTGAAATGGTGGAAATCGATACCATTCATGAAAACACATACATTTGATTGAACTGACTTTATGTTTAGACTTCAATTCAAGTGGCATTATCAATACTCCAGTTTATATTCTCGAGAATTGTTCCTTTGAGTTTGTCATTCATTATTCGATGTTTCATTAAGTGTATTCTATTCTCTATTGATTTTATTTCTTCTCCTTCTCACCTAAAAGGTGCTTCCAACTCATCCTCCTTACTACCAACATTCATCTTTAAATTACTATCCAGTCGTGGCAATCGATCGAAGTCAGTAACAAGGAAGAATCTTCACCTGAACACATTTCAAACTGCTTCAAATCATAACAGTCAACTAATCAATAATGACAATGTACACATTCAATCTAATGATAGTGTTTCATCAAAGGCATATGATTTTTTAAATTCCAGTGGGAGTACACCATACCAAACAGATGAGGATATTGACCAGTGTGGATGAAGTTAGATTATGCAAAATAATTGCCTTCCATTGATAAATTTGTATAAATCCAGATATTCAAATTCTGGGGCTCTGTAAATATTAAGGAATATCATTGGCATTGAACAGTTAAAACAATTCGACTGACTACATAAGAGTGAACATGACAAACTGTAAATATATAATTGTGTATAGTAGTGATAATAGTTGATTGATTCAAATATTGGAAAGAGATATTTTGATAAATTATTGGTGACTTTTCTTCTCTGTAAATAAACATTGAATTACATAAATGTACTTCTATGCTTGTCGGACAACTAACTATTAACATTGTCTCTGTCGTTAATGGAACATCATCAGATCTAAGGTGTTTTGATGTGCTTTGTCGTAGGGAAGCGGTAAGTCACACTCACATATATATACATACTTCTTACAGATAAGGTGATAGTCGTACGTTGAATTCGTGATCTAGAGGTTATTGTTACAAAATGTTTTCACTTACAAAATTCTCTCATTCAGCTTTGATCATCATCCACTTGAAGGTGAATAGTCGATGAAAACAAACATTCTTCGACAGTGAGTTATTATATTATTATTTGTTATTTGTCCCTTGGGTTCCTAGTGGAAGACTGGGCTTCAGTAGCACGCCTCCATTGCATTCTGTTCTCTGCAATCTTTTCAACCTGGCTCCACGACAGCCCACAAGCTCTCATTTCTTCCTCACACCATCTCCTCCATGTCACCCTCGACACCGACGCCCCACTCGTCGCTTCCCATTGGGGTTCCACTTGAGTGACTGTCCTGGCGCATGATGTCCCCAGTTGGCCTTCTCAGTGTATGCCCAATCCAATCCATCTCCACTTCCTTCCAGTGCATATTTGTTCAGCGATAGGTTCTTCGTTGGTTCACTACAGCCAGCCAGAGTTCCTTGTTGCTTATTCTTATTATCCTGGCCATCTGATCTTCAGTATTGAGTCAGCGTAGGCGGCAGTTGTTGGTGAATGTCTGTAGTTTGTTGGAAATGCCTTTCGTAACGCGCCAAGTCTCTCAACCATCACACAGAAGCACTGAATTGACGTGGTGTTGAAAATCCGGATCTTGTTCACGCTTTATGCTGAGTGGAGTGCAGAAGATCTCCACACTTGTTCCAGGTTAATGAACGCCTTTCTTCCTTATCCTGTTCTGACTTTGACATCCTCGTCTGTGCCGACGGCAGTTGAAACGGTGCTGCCTAGATAGTTGAAGGTGGCTACTTCCTTTAAGTTTCTCCCGTTGATGGTGATTGGAGTTTCTTGTTGTTGTTGTTGTTGTTGTTGTTGTTGTTGTTGGTGGTGGTGGTGGTGGTGGTGGTGGTGGTTGGGTATCTCAACACCTCCATCTCTACGTTCACTTGCAGTCCTATCTTCGCTGCCCTTCCTCTTCTGTCAACTTGTTGGATTTTGCCTGTAGATCTTCAAGTTTATGTGACATCAGGCACAAGTCATCGTTGGCGAAATCCAAATCTTCTAGGATCTTTTCCCCGCTCCACCGTATCCCCTCTTCTCACAGCTCCCCACTGTTTGCTGCATGATCCCGTCCAGTCGACCACAATCAGGAATATCATGGGTGATAGTAGGCAACCTTGTTTCACTCCTGTCTTCACTTCAAAAGCATCACTGAGATTCCTATTGTGAAGTACTTGGCCGGCATGTGGTATCTTCATATAGTTGTTGAATGAGGTTGATAAAGGTTTGTGGTATTCCATAGTGTTGGAGCAACTGCCAAATTACTTCTCGGTCGACGCTGTGGAAGGCCTTCTCAAAATCGATGAAGTTGAGGTAGAGTTGATTTGACTGACATTCTATGCTTTGTTCTATGATGATACGTAGAGAAGCGTTGCAATTTGGTCTGTACATGATTTGTACTTCCTGAATCCAGCCAGCCTGCCTGTTCCGGTCGTAGTTTTGAATCCAGTTCATCCTTTACTCTCTCCAGGATGATGTGGCTTAATATTTTGTTTCGGGTGGACATGGAAAGCAGCACGATTCGTCGCCAGTTCTTGCAAACACTTAGGTGCTGCTGTTTTCCTCGCATTTCAGTAGCCTTATGGCATTCAGGACTTCGACTTTCGTCAGAGGCCTGGTGTTCACTGGTAGTTCCGTGGGTCAAGATGGTAGTTCTGGACGACTTGCAGGTGGTGGTCGACTCAACAGCTTTCCGAAGTGGCCAACCCATCGTTCGTTGCCTAAGTTTCTCCTCTTTCGTGTTAATTAGGTTTCCTTCATCATCTATTATTGGTTTCATCTGTATTGATCTCTTCCCTATCAGATAGTAACCTGGTTATTTGATACAATGTTGTCAGATCTATCTCACCAGCCTACAGCATGTTCTGCTTCACTTACCAGTGTGTTGTGGAAGTGTCTTCTGTCTTTCCACCCACTCTTCTTCACTTCTTTGTCCAGTGTAGTATCTCACACATTGCACTCAGTTCCTCTTCTCGTTGTTCATTCTTGCACTGCTCTATCTCCTGCTTCACCATCACCATCACCATCCTCCTCTCCCTGCTCTATCAGCTTCCATGTGTCCGTCGTGATCCATTCCTTATCTCGTCTTGCTTCTTCCTCCTTCTTAACACAGTTATGCAGGTTTCCTTCTACATAGCTTTCAAGGAGTTCCAGTGTTCTTCCATGTAGGTTTCTTCTGAGATGTTGCTCCATATCTTCCATATTGTCTTGATGGTTGATAACTGATGACGTGAAGATGTCCTTTGTAGTTTCATCCTTCAGTACAGTTTCTCTTCTGGTGTTCAACTTGAACTGTGGTCTATCACCAACTTCTTTGAAGGCTTTCAGCTTGATTTTGCGGGTAGGTTCCTTACACTAGATAATGAGTGGTGTGAACCAACATCTGCTCCCCTTCTTGATCTGATCTTGTGTTAAGTAGGCTGCGTCTCCACTTTCTTGACAGTAAAGCTAACAGTCTATTCGATGATTGATAAAGTTAGATTTTCGAATCTTTATCAGTTGAAGTGCACGTTACAATAAGTTGAGGCAACTCTAACGGAATTGGTCTACGAATAATTATTAAAAAGGACTAGTCAATGCATAGACAACTAGTCATCAGTTTACTACCTGGAAATCGAACTAGATTGATGAAGAGCAGTGTCGGGTGAAAAGATATGTGTGAAATGCTGTTGGGTAACCCGTTAGGTCACTTTCTAAAATGATGGATTGTGTTGACACCTTCAATTATCAAGTCTATTTCAGCTGTGTTAAACAGTATAACTAATGAGATGGTTCCGAAAGCCTTTTACAGGAGGTGAAAATACTCACTTACATGGACTACAGCCAATTGATGACTAATGGTGTTTCACTGGTATCCAAAACGTTGAGCATTTGCATCACAAATATCTAACTGACTGCCTGTCGGTTTACAACACGAACAACAGTAAAATCATTGGTTGTTTAATTATGAGGTTAGCATGTCAGTTACAAATCAATTTGATATTGAGTTATGGTTGAAGATGAGGTGGAAATTTAGGCCGTAGAAGGATCCACACCAGCGGCCACTGAATTTTTGTCTGGATGCTCCACCGACTGAACTAGAAAACTTGACTGGTGACCAGTATCAATGCAAGTCTGCTAAACTACGGTTATCTCAGATAGTCGAAAGTATAGTCGATGCTCCCCCTCTCTAATTCAAGTAGATTTGAATTGGAATGAGAAGCCCTGACTGGTGTGCAAGTGTGAGCATGATCAAACGACAGTTACCCGTCATGAATCCACATGTCAGTCGGGTCTCGTAGCTCAGTTGGTGGAACACCGGGCAGGAAACCCGGGGCGACTGGTTCGAATCCTACCACGGCTCCCTATCTTCGTTTCATATTTAATCATCACCCAGTCTGAATAAAAGTCTGCCAAAGCAACGCTGCCTTAGATGGTCAAACTAAACAATTTCTTGATCATATATGTCACCTTGGATTTTCTCATTTCAGCGTTGACCAAAGTGGATTCATCAGTCGAACAGTAATCTGTTTAGTTGAGCGAATTCCTCGAATCTCTGAAGTGCTGTAATTTTCAACAGTGTTTACTGCTTTCCAGGATCTAAGGGATAATGTTGACTGATCCAAATTAGTGTTTGGAGAGTGTTCCAGTTCTTCAGTTACAAAGTGGTATAATGGACACTTACAGTCCTATATTTACCTCCGTGAAAACAAGTAAATAAGAGCTTTTGAACCAAAGGGAAAACAGCCAAGAGAAATTACCCGTTAACACGCGTGGTCAAATTGCTCGACATCTGTTGGAAGATGGGCTCGTATACGGATGCCTCGATACCATCTGGATATTCATCATATTGTAGTCTATTTGATGGCAAATAATGGAATCCAGAACACGTATTTCGCTTTGACCAATTGGACCCAGTATAGCAACGGGAAATTGCAAGTATCAACCAACAACAGCTGATAGCCGTCCCAGGAATGGTGGCTGCCATGCCCCTGTGGCCTAGTAGATAACACTTTGGCACTTGAAGTGATGGGTACTGGGTTCGAGTTTCAGTGGGAACAACGTTCACTAACTGGGGTACAGGTACATCCAGCTGACGAATCCCAGACAGGAGGAAATGCACACCAAGCTGGATCGCACTGCTAGCCATCAAACAGACTACAGTATGATGAGTATGCAGGCACTATCGAGGCATCCGCATAGGAGCCCGTTTTCCACAATAGGTCAAGCAATTCGACCCTGTATATCAATTGGAAATTACAAGTATCAGTTGACAACAGACGAAATTTCATCTAATCTAAAATATACATGACTTAGACAGATCAGTCACGTGGAAGAACCTTACGCTCCTTCGAAGTGACACAGTCTCGGTCACCTAAGTCTTTTGATATGTAGTGGACACCATATTCCACAAGCTTCTTAAGCTTATATTATGTATTAGAGTAGCAGATGAATAAGTTTGAAGGTGACTGACTCACTTCTGCGAGTAGTCCAGGTTCATTTAAGTCACAGTTGCTCTCTCTCTGAAAACCGAACAGCAGTTTAGAGATTCGTGAGAGACAAATCGTTTCTACAGAGTTGTTGTGTAGTGCTCATCACGTTAACGATGTAGAACACGGCTCCTGATAGCTGTTAGATACTTCTTCTACGGAGTGATAAAACGAGTACATTCAAAAGTGTACACATGCGGATGCAACTCAACTTGATCTGTCGGGCATGTGTTTTCTCTCTTGAACTATTCTGGCCCATGGAGACCGACAGAATGCTGGACAACACTGAGGAAAGAAGAAAACTATTTGAACCAATTCTAG